GCTTCTTATCTTATAAATTGGATCCATCCCAGAGCTGGGATGGAAATCCCCTTCTTCAGTCATGGAAGGAGCCCATTTGTGTGGATGCTGTGGATTTTCAGAGGCGTGACAAAGCTAAAAAGTTGGGGAGGGGTTTCATAACCAACTATAGGGAGAGAAAACATGACAGATGCTGCCTTGTACTGGCTCCTTGCGCTGGAGTTAATGGTGTGAGTAGCATTTTAAGCTGAGGCTTGCTGCAGGGGCTGAGGGCAACGCGCAGACACTTGACATATGAGAGGTTATTAGAAACATTTACATGACTGTGCATTTGAGTGTAGAGGAAAAAATGGCAACGCGGGGGTCAGGTTAAAAGCCCCCGCTCTGTAATGTCATGTTGAATCAACCTCCGCCTGACTTACAAAGATCACAGCTGAATCAACATGTTGTTTTTGCTCTAAATTATAAATAACGCAGCAGCAGGATCACTGTCACTTTATGCACCGTACAGCATATTCTTCTCAGTGGCATGCGTTTAGCTGGAAACTCTTTGCCCCCTGTCATTATATGCAGGCCAACAACACACCACATGTCAAAACTCAAAACATGAGGGTTGCTCAGTATGTGGTGGCTGTACACCGTTTCTACCTTTTACAGGCATTGTGTGTGATCTGCCAGTCTCATGTTAGCACAGGATGTTTGTGCAGAGCTTTGGTCTCTGCATCCTGCGTGCTCCCTGCTGGCCTGATGAGCAGATGGGTCAGTGAATGTGTAGTCGGGGCCTTGGTGGGCCCCTTCTGTTCTCTGTGTGGGTCCACTCATGGGATCAAAACCCCAGAGACCAGAATTATAGAAGCCGGATCACAAGGTAGATGGGATTGCAAGCTGAGCTGAGACATTCACACACATAGGCATTCAGTGCACACACAGGTATATTGAGGAATATACACTGCTCTACCTCTTGCAGGGAGGAGAGTGTATGTACGCACACGATAACGCGTGTGTAGCTTTTACATTCACCTGGAGGAGAGATCTGTCAGAGGGTATAATGTTTTACCGATTAACAGAGAAATTAACAAAGGAAATGTGATTTTATTTAATAAGTTAGAAGCAGACCTGATCTTTTATCACTTCAGACAAGCTGTTCAGGAGGGTTACATTACTAAAGTAAGATTTTTCTTGCCATGTCATGTGGAAATTTAGTCAAGTCATCTTCAACTGTTATTGCAGTCCATTAACTCCATTGTGAAGATACATAATTGATGCAGCCTTTGGGTAGAGTTTAATCAAATGGAGAGTGCTCCACACTCCACCGCCAACTGAAAAATGAGACACGCAATACTCAGCGATGTAGTTTGCGTGGTAAGACTATAATTCACACTTTGAATTGATTTATAATCATTTGACTGCACACTTTCCTGCATAATGCCCAAAGCAAAACTCATAGCTTTTAAGTTTTGAAAGGTGGATTCATGTGAAGGATTTATGTGCCTGAATTGGGATCAGTTTTAAGAAGAAAGACTAAATAAAAGCATACAGCTGTTTCTACTAATCTACTCCCAAACAAGCAAGGAGTGTGGTTTGTGATTTATTCTTTGTACCTTTTGGGTTTTTCATTTCATCTTTGTTTGATGTGGATTTCTATCACTCACCCTCAACCATCCATTTCCATTTCAGTATTTTGTTTCTCTTTAGGCATTTACTTTTCTTTGAAATAACAGTGATCTGTGTGGGATGTGGAAATGCATTGTTTATGCCATGCTCCTTGAAATCAAGGGCTTAGCTCTCTAGTTAAATTTCACAGCCAGCCAGCACTTATCTCTGTCAACTCCTGTTTAAGCCGCTGATGATCTGCCTTGGTTTAAATGCTATTGGCTGTTGTTTGTGCCGTGAACCTGAGCTGTGATTCAATGTTAAAAATGCACTACTTTATTTTATACAACCCTTTAAAAGTGAGTTGCATCTTTCATGCAGCCAAAGCATGACAAATATACAACATATTCACAAGATGTATGCCAGCACTCTGTACTTCTTTTCTCCATGAATGCATTTTTCTGACAGGGGAAATTGGGGGAAAGCAGCAGATTAGTGCAACCTACTCAGCTGCGAATTCTGAAGAGCATTCGTCTCACTCAGGCGTCTTAATAACACAGCAGTCAATTAAATCCATGAAGTCAGATATGTAATTTTCAAATAATCATTAACTGGGGGAAAGATGGAATTAGAAGTTTGGATATCGGAGAGATGGGAGGGGAAGACAGCAAGAGAGGCATAACAGTTATTACAGTGGAGGCAACATGTACTAAATCCCCCAGCCAAAGATGAGTGAAGATAAAGGAGGTGACTGAGCTAATTGTGTACTGTCAGAATCCATATCTCTAACGACTGTCAAATGAGCAAATTTCAAATGTATTCTCTCCACCCACCCAACTCCCCCCAGGAGCAAAAGTGGTGAGCGAGAGAGGCAGAGAGAGAGAGGAATAAATACCAGGAGACACTAATGTGATGAGAATGATGCCTGGTCTCTTCCGCTGATTAAAAATGCAATATCGCTGTGGCAAACACACACACACACACTGTGCAGCCTAAGCAAGGCAAAGAGTAGTTCTGTGGACCCACAGATATAAAATGGCACCCAGTGACCCCAAACTAATTTATTCACTTAGAAAAAGAGGCACTGTATCTTTTTCTTGGATCGCTTGTAGTAAAAAAAACAACGCGTTTCAGCTGCGGAGCCTGTTCATAAAATGTAGTCGTCGTCTTTCTTTTACAGTAGATTATAATTAGGGCCTATGAAGAGATAAGGATGTTATGATTCATGTCTAACCAATGGCTATCTTACTGTACCACTAATTATAAAATCTTTGTGTCACTATGTGCTGGCCTGATTTCTGGAGAACGGAAGTCAAAGAAGGAAGAAACATGCTGGTAAACAAGAAGCATCATAAGAAGGTTTTGAGTACAAGATGCAGCGGGGGGAAAGAATAAGAATTGTGAATAGTGTCTTTATACACCCCACGTTATATCAGGCCACAGTTGGTTACTGACGGGAAGCAGATAAGGTTTCACTCTGGCTGGAGTTGGATAATTGGACATTTATGGAGAGATAGGAGAGCCCAGGGCCCAGGAGCCATGAAACAGAGCTAATCTAGACTCAGCATCAGTAAATTGTCTGTGAAAGAGCGCATCAGGAGTTCTGACAAGATAAGGAAGGCTTTCTTCAAAGGCAGAGCTGGACCAAAGTGACATGAAAACTCAAGATAGAAGAAAGCCTGTGTTTTTACAGCTGGGACTTCTTCATGTCACATGAGGCACACACTGAAATGTACATTTCGTTATAGCAGTGGTGTCACCTTGTCATCCAAATTGGGTCATGCAAACTTGGAATTTTTCCACCGTTTTCAGGACATTTTTGACAACTTTGTAAATAGACAGCTCGCCGACACTGTGTACATGTTTAAGAGTTTATAAAAAATCTATTGTTCAACTTGAAATGTTCCACGCATAAGAACGTGCGACCGTCGGTCCTTAGAGTTTGAAACGTTTTAGTCCTGCTGGTGCCTGCTTGCCTTGCTCACAGTCCACCATGATTAGTTTCCTCCCTTTGATGTTTTCCCCACTTGAAACTGCTGCCTACAGAACAGGTGCATACCGAGCAGGTGGGCCCTTACGTAGGAGCCTTGAGAGTTTGGTGCTGGAGTTAACCATACCTCACACTATTTTATATGGGTAAAAACCACTCCTAAGCACCCCAAGTTTAGAATTTACAATATTTTCTACATATCAAAGATCAGGTCTGACAAAGTCGGGATACATAATGCTGTTGCTTAAGCTGTTAGCTAGCATTGCATTTCTTTTTGCTGAGCTGCAAATCTAAACTCTGTTCAGCCCCTACTGATTACTTGCACACAGACACTGACACACGCAATTAATTTGGTGGGGGAGAGGCTAGTCTTAATTGGGCATAAGTGGGATTTTTCTTGGCTGTGTGCAACAGAAAATGACAGACTGTGCGTATGAGAAGTAAAGACCATCTGGTCCCACAGGAGCTGAGATAGATGCCAGACAAATGGAAAGAGAAACAACAGAAAACCTGTGTGGGTAAGGATCTCATCCCATCTCGTTCCCTCCGTCTCTCTTTGTCACACACACACACACACACACACACACACAAGAAAAGAGGAATCAGCATCCCTTGGTCATATATCATTTGCCTATGTAACAGCCTAGAGGGAGACGCATACCGTGTGAAGAAACAGAAGTCTCTCATGCGTGGCCTATTCATGTTTTTATATAATAATCAATATTGAAAATAGTAACATTGTGCTTGCAGGCAGGCACAGGAATAAAGAGCGGTTAGCTCGTAAAGGCTTGGTCATCAGCAGGACAAATTGATCTGACATGTTATATTATTCATGTAGGGAATTGGTGGTGAGACTTGAAGGGAGCAACAGCGAGAGAGAAACAATGGATGAGACAGAGAGAGCAAAGGGTGAGTAAAGGAGTCAGCTAGTGGACATCCTCTCCTCTCGCAGGGTCTCATCTCCTCTGCATGACAGCGCTGCTCAGTGAGCTCTCTAATGCGCCCTGTCATCGGGGTGAGACTTTGAAAGAGCTCATGACATTTCCTTCAGTTTCCAGAAACCCATCAACAAAACAAATGATTAATGGAACTTATTCAGACATCAGTTTAAACGCTCTCTCCTGCTAAACACTCACACATACGCACAGAAATAACTATGATATGCTGTCTGGTTTAATTGTATAAAAGATAACAAAATGATTTTTATTACATGTTCATAATTTGACAGACATCACAACATACTTGCATGATTGCTCTGATATTAATGCTTCCCACACCATAATTAGGCATAATATACCCAATACGAAACTATATAAAACAAACATGCTTGCAGATACAGCGGGGCGGGGGTCAGTTCAACAACAGATTAAAGCCATATTCTGTCATTTAATGAAGTTCAGTTCTGGTAAAGAAAACAAACTGCAGAAGGATGCTGAAGCTCATTATCATTTTCAGAATTTATTTCTCTTTTTTTTGTTTACATCAAATAGAACAGACATACATTGGCACATGCAAAGTGAACACTTTGTGGTGCTTTTCATTACCATCCAAATCCAATTGAACAAAGACTGGATATCTATTTTTGTACTCCAAACATGAAAATACTCTCAAATATTTACAAAAAAATATAGTTACAATGCCCATCACTCTAACAATAATAATCATCTGGGACTGATTTGAGTTGGTAAAAACAAAATACTGTATGTGGCAGAGCTTGCTGTTCAAGGTAATTAAATCAACTGCAAACAAAAGGAGGCACAGAAGAAAATCACTTATAAACAATACAAAACAGAAATCAGATAATGGGAACCCCAAGAGAATATGGCTTTAATGACATTTCAAAAGAAAATATCTTGAAAGTGGATCCACTGTCCTTTTTTTTTTTTTGCGACCATCCTCGTTCACAGTGACCCCTTTTAGCAGGCAAGTTGTTCTCTAGCAGAGAGAAGGGGGCCACAACAACAAGTTTAAAACCTACAGTTTGGTTCGTGACGCTGACCCAGCCACACGGGCCTACAGCTGTGCTAGTCTCTGTCAGGACTCATGTATCATGTCTGGTTGAAGGTTGGATGCTATCCACAGTCCTGGAGTGCATAGGTACTGCAGGTGGTGCTGGGATGCCTGCGCTCGCTCTCCTGTCTCTGTCTTTCTTTCTCTGTTCCTCTAGAGCTCCCCTCCCTTTTCAATCACAGATAAAGGACAAACGCCATTCATTTTCAAGCAGATCAGATCCTGAGGTTGTTGTAACTCACATATGTTTTCTTGGTTGCTTGACCTGAGAACAGAGTAAAAAAAAAGATTGACATTTACTTTTGCTACAACAAAACAAAAGAGGCAAATAAACATCCTCCGCTTCTGTAAACTCATCCTACTGTGCCATGCATTCTTATCACCAGCTGTGTGCAATCAGTAGCAATATTTTCTAGCCTAGCATATCATTTCAACTCGCAATGCCCCCGTGTAAAGCCTTAGTTTCTATTTTCAGATGTTAACTAGTGATAAAAAACACAAACACCACACAAGTGAACACCGAACAAATGCTAGGGCATGCAATGTGATCCCAGTCTGGATTGCCATGGAAACATATCAGAATGTGGCTGAGTGCCTAGGTGCTGTGTGTGTGTGTGTTTATGTGTCCTCCTGTAATATCCATCGTTATGGGAACCAATTTGAGTTTCAAGCCCACAGACTGAAGCTATGTTTTTGAAAACTGAAGTCATTATGGCTTATTATGGCTTCTGTAAAAGGCTGTTTTAGGGTAAGAATTTAGTCTAGAATTAAAGTTAGTCTTTGGTTCAGGTGTATTTTAGTGCAGGCGTCGATGTTGGTTAAGACTGGGATGAGAAAACATGAATGTAGTCAGTAGACCAACATCAAGAACGAAGATGTGTGCCTCTGCAGGTGCGTTGTCCTTTTTTGTACAGTGGAGAAGGTCGCTGTACATTTTCTTAATCACAGACATTGCTATAAATTCTCATTCTACTGCTTTAATGTTGCTATGGTGACCAACTCCCATGGGCTACGCAATTAAAGTCGCACCATTTCTTTACAGCTGCATTTTGTTGCCTTGGCCGGCAAGTACGATGAATAAAACATTAGTAAATGTACAACAGATTCTTCCTGTTAACCATAATAGTATTCCGGAAGATCAGACTTTGTTTGAAGAAGACGCTGTGTGTGTGTGTGTGTGCGT